GGGGGGTATCCTTTTTTTTTCACAAAAAGTAAGCTACGTCCTTCTCTGAAAGAAAGATATATTCCATGACATGGCAGAACGCCAGTTAAAAATATGTGAGGTGAGCTGTCCTGAGGAGAAGGCAGCTTCGTGGCATGAGCTCTGCCTGGCCGGAGAGCCTCGCTCAGCTCAGAGCTGCGGCCATTCTTGTGAGGGATGGCGGGCCCGTTTCCCGGCTTTTTTATATTAATAAGGAATAGTTTTCAAAATACCCCCATAAGTTGAGATATGTGCCAAAAGGCCCCTAAAAGATGTGGGTAGAGCGGAATACCCCTCTGACAAAAAATAGTTTGTGAAATGCCCCTAGCATCGGTTGGACTCCCATCTTTGCAATATACCCCTACCGGGTACCGTCCAACTTTGCAAAATGCCCCAGTACTTGCCAACTTTTCCTAGGCGCTATTGCAAAAGGCCAAGGCCCAAACGGGGCGGTCCAGATTGCAAAGTTGGACACCCCCCTGACAGGGGCACAACACAAAGATTTCGGCCCAAAAGGGCATTCCGCTCTACTCACATCTTTCAGGGGCATTTTGGCATATATCTCAACTTCTGGGGGTATTTTGCAAATTATCCCTATTAATGAAGAAAGTTCTTCCAGGAAAAAAAGAAAAATACAAAAAGAACATGGCGGACGCATGTTTTGGTTTTTTTCCTTCTCTCAATTTCACCTCACACTGCCTACCTACCACTACTCCTAATTGTAGGCATACGGGGAACCCCCTAGCAGCCAGAACCGTGTTCACGACAGGACAAGCGGGGGCTGCTCCCGACCTGCCGGTGGGCGGTACCGGCTAGGGGACAGCCGGTAGCATCAGGGACCATGCCAACAGGATCAATCCCTGTGCCTCCCCTCAGGTGGTAATCCCACCCTCTAGGAACATCAGCACGTAATTCAGAATTATTTTACTCTCTTCATCTGAATGCAGATGCTGTGTTGGAACTTGGGTCTGTCATTTCAACAGTTCGTGGGTATACCAACTGAGCTCGGTGGTGCGAGCGGATGTGGCGACGTTTTAGCGGTAGAGATGCGTCAGCAAAGTCGTTTATTTTTGGTGAGGAGTGGCGCGAAGTGGTACTGCAGCACTGTCAAACTGGGCCCAACCCCGCCTACCGGTAGCAGCATTGAGTTTCCTCAACGGCTGAATCTGGACGGATTTGCGGGGATGTACGGTTGGGAAAACTCAATGCGCACAGCACCACAAACACGTCCAAATTCAGGCGTTGAGGAAATTGATAGCTGCTAGCGGGACCTGCCATTGGCTGGGAAATGGAGAGGGACTGTAGACCACGTGATGCGCGGTGACACAGCCAGAGCAGAAAATTGACTAAGAAATTGATTTGGGGAAAAGGCATATTCAGAGTAGGACATTTTTGCAATTTCTGCAGGTGATTGCAGTTACCATCGTCTGGTATTTTTTGCAGTGTTTGATAAATTTGTTTGTTCTGAAGGTTCGGGCATGTTGTGTAAATTTCAGTCAACATACATAAAGTTGTATCTAGAGGGGAAGTTGGCGCAAATATAGCATACATTATATTTGAAAGAAGACAAAAACCATCATTTTGTTTTGTTTTTTTTCAAACCTCTGATCTATTTATTGGGAGAAACACACGTTGGGAATTCGGCCCATTGTCTTTAATGAGGGCTAGTCATAGATGAGGGACACTTTGAAAAACCCAAGAAAGGTGGTGAGCAACAGGAGGGAAAAAAAAAAAAAAAAAAAAAAAAAAAAAAAAAGGAAGAAGAGTGCGAGAACTGGAAGGAGGAGAAAAAGAATACTTTGATAGATGATCATTACATGTTAAAAGAAGGGAAGTGGGAAAGACTGTGGCTGCCAAATATGGGCGTCCTTGCAACCACAGGAAAAAAAAAAATCAAAAAAATAATCTTGAATTCCGGAGTGTGAATGGCTACAACAGGCAAGTCTTTGTGTTAGAAAAAAAAGTAGGTAACGCGTATGATTTTAGGAAGTACCGATGGTTGAATAGTCATTTATAGACTGATTGTACAAAGTATGTTAAACCTTATTTACAATTTATTTATAATTTATTTTAAAGAGCAAATTTGTTGTTCATTCTTTGAGCTAATCTATCACAACAACGTTGAATTTCCAAAGTGTGTCATGGTTAGTCAATTATGGTTGCTAAATTCTAATGAGCTACACTCTTTGGTTACAGATTCACGTTCGAATGCACTTATCGTAACAGTAGAAGCAATTTTGGCTAGTCAGGCTTGAACAGTTGTTCATATGTGTTAAGGATAACATTCAGATTGATTGCACAAAGTATGTTAAACTTTATTTACAATTTATTTACAGTCTATTTTATAAAGTAAATCTGCTATTTAAGCTTTGAGCTAACTTATGACAATGACGTTGAATTGTGCCATGGTTAGTCATGCCATGGTTGCTAAATTCTACTAAGCTATGCTTTTTAGTTTTGTAATTGTTTTTCATTGAATTTTATTATCAGATTTGGGAGGTGTGTTTGGCCTGAGTGGTAATGCAGTAATATGGGGAGGTTGTGGTGTCATATGTTGGAAATGTGCGTTGAATATTAGTCCAGGAGGTATCAACGATTCGCTGTGTGTCTCATGAACGGAGAACGGGCGGAATTAAACGCCGTTCAACCCATTAAACGGGTCCGAGGACCCCCATTGAATCCCATTTAACGAAAAAACGGGGGTGTCCCGTTAAATTCCAAAAAATGAAATTGGCCCGTTGGCCCTCGAACACGTGGTCCTACGCGCCCAAATATAAAAAACAAGAAAAAAAAATAAAAAAATTAACCCCTATTAACAGGGTGGGGAAGCCAAACATGCCCCTCCCTTTCGAAAATCAAACTGCAAGAGGGAAAAAAGAAAGGGACACCCCATACCCCAACACTGTGAGCACATGTGTGTGCATGTGGGTGCATGCTAAGGCGAAATCCCGGGCGCCCGGGTCCCGATACCACGCCCGGTTTGACGACCGGGCGACCGGCTGGTCGAAACGCTCAGTCGGGCCCCCGTGCCTGAAATGCACAGACCCGTAACATTTTTTTTTTTTCCGATTTCAAGGCATTCTAAAAAATGTTTGGGGGATCGAAGCTGGCTCGCGGAACCCTGCGCCGCCCCCCAAAAAACAATTCGGTTATCTACCAAGTGCTAGGAGTAGTTTGAAATCAAGCGATTTATGACCGTCGATCTTCAAGATCGACAGTCAGAAATTGCCCGATTTCAAACTGTTTCCCCACGCGATTTCGCGTGCGGGCAGATCCCGAATTGCTAGATCTTCATCTTGTTGAATGTTTGCAGCAGTTGAAG